GGTTCAGTTCCCAGCACCAACATGGCAACTAACAACCGTCCATAACTCCAGTTCCAGGGTATTTGATGCCCTCTTCTGACCTCCATGGGCATTGCGCATGACACGGATGTACTTACACACATGCAGGCAATATACTCATACACATAAAATAAAAACAATAAATAAAATTTTAAAAAACAAGGTGGCTAGATCCCCAGAAATGATAGCTGAGGTTGGCCTCCAGCCTCCGCATATGCACATGCATCTACACACACACACACACACACAGAGGCATCCACATGCATGTGCATGTATAGAATGTCAATACATAATATTTATTGAGCATCTACTGGGTTACAGGTGCTATTTTTTTAAAATAGAATTTTCCTGTTTACTGAAACATTTAGGATAAAATATGTCTATCTCCTCATCTCTAAAAACATATGTTCTCTTAATTCTACTTTTTAATTATGACCCAGATTGTTAATATGTTTTTTAAAAATAAGACCCTATAGTCTTATATTTTATCCTAAATGTAGGTGCTATTTTAAACACTTTTAAAGCACATTGCTTAATAACTTCAAAATAATCTTGTGAGATTGGTTCATTATTTTCTGTTTTATAGATGAGGATGAAACAGAGGCAAAATGCTTTTATGTCTCAGATCATACGGAAAGGAAAGGCAAAGCCTGACTTTCACCCCCACAGTCTGGCTTCAGAACCTGGCTCTCATTTACATATGTCTCTCCACTGCTCATTAATGATAAAACTTAGCTCACCTGTTTCCCAGAAATTAGCTAGCTGTTTCCCCACCTTCTTGCTTCCTTTCTTTCTGGGCCCCCAGAAGACTATATTTTTCAGGCCCCATGGTTTCTGTAGCTGTGTAAATGACCGTTAGTCCAAGGAATGTGTCCAGAGGTGCTGTGCATCCCTTCTAGGCTTGCCCATCAAACATTTCACACATGAGGCCCTGCGTTAACATCAGTAGTAGATTAAGAGACCAGGAGGTAAGCCTCCACCACTGTGTGCCATCATATAGAATGGTTTTGTTGTTATTGTTACAGCAGCTGAAGTTACCTTAATATGTGCATTGAGCTCATGGACCTATTGTCCCTTGAACATGCCTCTGGCTCTTGTACATACTTTTCCAGACCTCTCATTCTCTCCTTCAAGTGCATCTTAAAAAATTATTCAATGTCTAAACCAAGTCCAATCACCTTCAAGCAGTTTCTTCTCCTCCTGTCAGCCACAGTGATGGTGCTTTCCCTCAGCTGCCTGCAGTGCTTTGGTAGCTGACTCTGTGGGTGACGTGGTGTGTGTGTGTGTGTGTGTGTGTGTGTGTGTGTGTGTGTGTGTAAGATCATGAGCTCTTCAAGGTCAAAGATCACTATTTTATGCTTTTTGTATGGCTCTGAAGTGAACAGTGTAGCCTGTGCCTTGAGAATTTTCAATAAATATTCATGAGGAAAATGAACTCGTAGATGTACTAGGTTCAATAAAGTCCATTTTCCTAAGAACAGTCCTTCATTACTGAAGCATGAAGTTATGTAAACTATAATTTACTAGATTTTTGGTGTTTTTATTATTCCTTTCACCAGTACACACATTCCAACCTTTCTTGACAACTTCTTAGAAGAGGCAGAAAGCATGCTTATCAAATTTCAGATGGCACAGTCTGAAGTAATAAATAATGCACATGATGACAGAGTCAGACTTAGACATGTTGGAATGATGTAGACAACATTAAATAGGAATAACTACAAAACTGGATCTCAAAAAACATGCCATGCCGTTTCAGCATGACGAACATGGCCAACACCAATTTATACGGGGAAACATAAGGGTTTTTTGTTTTGTTTTGTTTTAAATATTTTATTTCTTATTTTTATGTGTGTGTATTGCCTGCATGTAGATAAGTGCACCCGTGTTGTGCAATGCCCGCAGAGAACAGAAGAGGCTGTTGGATCCCCTGGGACTGGAGTTACAGACAGTTGTTAGCTGCCATGTGGGTACTGGGATACAAACCTGGGTCTTCTGCAAGAACAGCCAGTGTTCTTAACTGCTGAGCCATCTCTCCAGCCCAAGACACGAGTTTTAATTGGCTGCGAGGCTGACATGAACCTTGAGTTGTACACAGGGCCGAAGGCACTGAATGACAAACAAAATATTCAGGCTCCAGTGAGGCAGGGATATGAATTATGGTGGCTGAGTGGTGGCCAAATGGAGGTGGACAGAACCTCATTGTTGAAGGGGCTGGAAAGATGGCTCAGCAGTTAAGAGCACTGGCTGCTCTTGCAGAGGACCCGGGTTCCATTCCCAGAACCCACATGGTGGCTAACAGTCATCTGTAACTCCAGTTCCAGGGGATATGATGCCTTCTTCTGACTTCCTTGGGCAGTGCATGACATGGGTGCACCTACCAACATGCAGGCATTACACTCATATACATAAATAAAATAAAATAGAATCTCAGTGTTGGATAAAGTTCACAGTAGCAGGAGAGGAGGAAGAACAGAATCCTATATTTTAACCTGGGTAAGCTACACACATACATCAACTTCACCTTTAGAACACTGATAGGAATCGTCCTTCTGAAAACACTATTACATAATTTCTAGCATCAAACTGGTGCTAACAGAGCAGATTGGGTCCCTTTGCAAGTTTTGATTTAGAACTTAGAAGGCTTTAAAGGTCTTACTCCCCTGTGAGAAAGTCGGAGCTGTCTTTCATTGAATCCTTGTCATTTTAGAATCTGGGAGATGCTAGATCAATTGTAAATTCAAGTCACCCTCTGGGGAAGGGAAAGAAGGAACATCCCATCCTCTCCAGGCTCAGGAGGCAGAACTGGAACCAGGGGATTTAAGTTCAACATGAAGAATTTTTTAAGCATTATAGATCTTCAAAAATGGGATAGACTCTGGGACTAGAGAGGTGGCTCACTGGTTAAAAGTGCTAGCTGCTCTTGCAAAGGACCTGGGTTTGATTCCCTGCACCCATGTGGCAGCTAACTCCAGTTCCAGGGGATCCAAAAGCCTCTTCTGGCCTCCAAGGGCATTGCACAATATGGGCGCACTTACATACATACAGGCAATATACTCATACACATAAAATAAAAATAATAAATAAAATATTTTTAAATGGAATACTCTGAGTAAACAAGGCTTAAAATGTTCAAGTAAAAAGTTGATGAATGTATTAGGTGTTTCAGTAGCAATTCAAAACATTGGATGAGAAGATAAATACAATTCCTAAGGTCTCATTCAAATCATGTATGTATGTACATATATATATATACACACATGTCTATGTATACACACACATACATACACACACAGACACACACACACAGGACTTTTCTGAGACAAGATCTTCCTATCTATCCCTGACTGGCCTGAAACTCACTATGTAGACCAGGCTAACCTAAAGCCTGCTTCTGCCTCTCTAGTGCTGGGATTATCACTTGGGAGGCAGAGGCAGGTGAATCTCTGTGAATTCCAAGCCAGCCTAGTCTACATAGCGAGTTCTAGGCCAGCTGGGGCTACACAGTGAAACCCTGTCTCAAACAACAGAACAATCTTTAAATTAGTAGTATGTTACAGAATATGTGTATGTGTGTGGGAGGGCAGTTACTGTGTTAGATATTTCAGAGGTACAGCCAGAATTTTGAAGATGGTCACCTTGATAAGAACATAACCCATGGATTATTTAATCTGTGATATATGCGAGGGGAAAACTAGGGACTAGAGACTTTGCATCCCTATGAAACAAAGAACAGACTCTTGAGAGAGGAAAAGAAAGGTCAACAAATACCACAGGAATTCCACATAATCTGCATACTCTCTGGAAGGCAAAAGCTGGAAGGAAGCTGGAGTGTTTCCCAAGGTCAAGGGGCTGACTGTGAGGTTACACTTGATAGTGACAAGATTATATTCCTATTGTGCTCCTCCCTCCTACGACTCTGTAGGCTTTGGAGACACACACTTAAGAGTAACATTTTCTTCAAACTGATTGTGCTTAGAAAAACTCTTTTAGGGGTCTTTTCTGTGATAATATAGTTTTAGGACAAAAGTCCCCAGCTCTTGGAGTCCCAGTAGGTTAGGCTGAGCCACCAGTCCCAAAAAGAGGTGAAGAGGTGAAAGGCAAAGAAAGGAGATGTAATCACTGTGACCCCGTTGGGAAATACAAAGTGGCCAGTGACACCCCACTCCAAGTCAATCTTTGGAATCATGACATGAACTTTAAGTTTAAATGGAGGAAGAGTTGGGGCAGGGAGCTAGGGGTAAGCATTGCTAAGCAGTCCTGGTCAAGGTCTGGTCTGCTTGGTGACCTGTTTTGATTCTACAGGGTAGTTTGGGGGACAACTCAGGAAGGACTGGGTGAGGTGACTGATCCTGCTTGGAGGGGATGGTGTAAGGTCATGGGGGCGGGGAGCGGGGCTGATATATCTTCTAAACTCTGCTCTTCCAGGGTACAAGGTGACTTCAGGTTTACAACAATGAATAGAGTTTTAGGTGCATTTGGGGACGTCTGGAATTGGACTTTGTTAAAGCTCTTTAAGATCCTTAGTTATCTTTGTGTCTTCAGTCATAAAGAGGAATGTGATCGATTAGAAACGCGAGTTTCTAGATAGACACATCTAGATTCATGAACCTGTGTAGTGCAGAGTAACGGGTGAAGGAGAAAAAAAAAGTCAAGCAGGCAAGATGAAGTCGGAGATGCCGGCCTTCCTCCTGCTTTGAGTTCCCTTGTGGGCTTGAAGTATCTGCTTTTCGACAAAAGCAGTTTCTGGTCAGCTTTCATATCTATATGGCTGTTTCTTGGATTATTTTTTCTCATGGGTGGGAAGAAATGCATTCTTTGTGTAATCTCGAGTCTCACGTGGGCTATTTTTGGAGAAAGTCAAGGTAATGTGGACGGCGACAGACTGCTGTGCTGGGTGCCTAGGTTGGGCAACATGCGAACCTGAGACTGGGAAAAGTATGTATCTACAAAGACAATCACTCCGTGCCGAGTCTCCTGACCTTTAAGAAGTCCTCTCCAGTCGTTAGGCTATTGCACTGCCCTCTCCAGGGCCCCATTGGGGACCACAGCGGTGTGCACCTGCAGCGAACACAGACACCTAGGCCCAGGTAGGGGCGACTGCTCTCCGAGGTCCCCTCAGCACCTCCTCGGCCTCTCGGCCCACCTCACTGGTCTGGCGGTGCCGAGTAGGGAAGGATCTCCAACTCCAGCCCCGGCTGCGGCAGGAGCGGGGCGCGCCGGGGTGGGCGCGCGGGTTGCGCGGGGCGGGCGCCCCAGCTCGGGGCGTGCGAGCTCTGGGCATGCTCAGTGGCGCGGGCAGGGCTCCCGGCGCGAGAAGCTCCTGCAGCAGCACATTCATCCGCTGCCAAGGGGAGCCGCCGGGCGCTCGCAGACTCCGAGCGCGCCGCTCCGCCGCGCCATCCCGCCGCCGCCTCTTCCGGAGCCATGGCCGGCCTCGGCCACCCCGCCGCCTTCGGCCGAGCCACCCACGCCGTGGTGCGGTCGCTGCCCGAGTCCCTGAGCCGCCACGCGCTGCGGCGCGCCCAGGGCGAAGAGGTGGATTTCGCCCGCGCCGAGCGCCAGCACGAGCTCTACGTGGGCGTGCTGGGCAGCAAGCTGGGGCTGCAGGTGGTGCAGCTGCCCGCGGACGAGAGCCTGCCCGACTGCGTGTTCGTGGAGGACGTGGCGGTGGTGTGCGAGGAGACCGCCCTCATCACCCGGCCCGGGGCGCCCAGCCGGAGGAAGGAGGTAACGGGCTGGGCCGGGGACGCGAGGGGCGCGGCCGGGGGATGCGCGCGGGCCCTTCCCTGCGTGGAACAGACCCTGGGGCTGCGTTCCCAACTTGCCACAGCCGGACCCCGGGCGCTGTGGATGGATGGGCGTGGGAGATCGGAGCCAGTCAAGTTCATTGTCCACACCTCCTGGGTGTCAGGGAGCCTTCCAGACCATTTCCCTGAAGTGTGGCGCGGACTTGGGCAGGTGGCTGGGCTGGGGACCCAGATCACCAGCATTTTCATTTGTGAAAATTGAAGAGCAGCGAAGGCGATGCTTCTCTGTTTCCTAGACAGCGGGCACTGAGAGGGGTTCCGCTCCGGGCAGGCGGGTGGAGACTGGGGGGAGGGGGGTGTCCCCAAGTCCTGCCTGGCGCTGCTAGCTGGGCGGGTCAGAGGACACCTGGCAGCGCCTGTGCGTCGCGAGTTACTTTTCAGTGGTGGCAAGTCAGTCTTAAAGAACACGAATGTGTTTAAGGAGAACGTTTTGTTGGTGAGCTGTCTTTAAATGTGTGCGTGAAAGGACCTCATTCGAAAAGCTGTGCTCCCTGCGGGATGTTGGGCGTGTGTGTTTCGTTACCAATGGTGATTTCACAAGTTCTGTAATTTTTAATCTCTTTTTTAAAAGGAGCTTTAATTAAGACAGCTTTTTTGTGTGTTCCCAATGGATAGTGACTACTTTAAAATAGTACAGCTTGTGGAAGTGGCTGTAACTGCTTGAAACATAATATAGGTTAGTGGGGAGAACAAATAGAGTGAAATTGGGTTTTAAAATGCCATCTGGCTGGGGATTCTTCTCCCTGTCTGGGAAGAGCACAGGTTCAAGATTCTCTCTCGATCTTGGCATCATGGCATAACAAGATGCAGGTGTTTTCTTTCATCTCTGGAGGGATTCTTTTTTTTTTTTTTTCTATCATATCGGGAATACCTCCTAATGCTTATGATTTAAATATTCCTATTCCACACTCGCTCTACCCGCCAGCCTGATGGAACCCTACAAGGACTGAGTATAAGCATATTTTGTTTATTTGGCACTGAGGTAATCAACTTTTTCTTCACATCCTGGTTTACCAGAAAACCAAGAGTAATAGGTCTCATTCTCTTAGCCATTCTCTTTAGAAATAAAATTCTTGGGGCTGGAGAGATTGCTCAGTGGTTAAGAGCACTGAATGCTCTTGCAGAGGACCTGAGTTCGATTCCCAGCACTCACATGGTGGCTACGAACTGTCCTTAACTCCAGTTCCAGGGGTATCGAAGCATTCTTCTAATCTCCGCAGCATTGCATGACACAGGTACACTCACATACATACAGGCAATACACTCATACACATAGAATTAAAAAATAATAAAATAAAATATTTTTAAAAATTCTTTTGTCACACCCTTCCAGTCTTTGAGGGTGTGAAATGCTCCCCCTCTATTTTAACCTGTAAGCCCTGGATGAATGCCTTCTGGTGCGTTCTAGGCCATATGGCAGAGCAGTACTTAAGAGTCTAATAGATTTCAAAACCCTTTCAAAATGGTACTCATTTGATGAGCATAGTCATTTCTTCTCCGGTTGTGGACCTACTGATTCATTCATCCTAGTCCTGTGATGTATCCCTACATAGAAGTACTTCTTTTTTAAAAATAATTTTTATTCATTTATTTTTATTTATTTTGGCAGAGTCTCCCTAGTCCCAGCCCACCCAGAAGTCACTATATGCACCAGGCTGGCCTTGCTTTCCCAGAGATCCACCTGCCTCTGCCTCTTGAGGGCTGGGTTTAAAGGTGTGCTACCACGCCCAACTTTATTATTTTTATTTTATGTGTATGAGTGTTTTGCCTGTATGTGTGTAAGCATGCCATGCAATGTTCATGGAAGTTAGAAGTTAGGTGATGGATCCTCTGGAACTGGAAGTATGGATGATTGTTAGTGCCATGCGGGTGCTAGGAACCAAACCCTCCTCTACAAGAGCAACCAGTGCTCTTAACCCCCAGAAGTACATTCCTTATAACATAAATAATGTCTTTGTGTAGTTAACTTTCCAAATTGGGGTTTCCCAATGTTAAGACTAGCAGTGATCTTTGTCCTCTGTCCAGATTTTGAGGTATACATTTTAAATATCAGAATTTGACTCCACTTTGACATCGGCACAGTGGCCCATGTTGCCAGAGGTCACACAGAGCTCTTGCATTTTCTTTTCTGTGTAGGGGATTGAACCCAGGACCTTGCCTATAGTAAGCAAGCACCCAACCACTGAGCTACACCCCCAGTCACAGAAGTCACATAATGTTCTTAACATTAGGCTACATCTAGTTCCATCACTTCAGTTCTGTGGCCTTGAAGTATCCCTTGCCTCAATTGTCTCCCTCTAAAATGGGCATAATAATACATATTTTCCAAGTTGTAAAAAAATGTATTAGTCCATCTACAATTCACAGACAGGATGTAGTTAGTGATGCTTCCATTTCCCAGGTTGAAGACAAGCCATGTTCATGCTCCAGGTTCATCTTTATCTGTTCTGTGACACTGCCTGCTGGTTTGAGTCTCTGTGTCTGATCTCTCCCCCAAACACCTCTGCTCCTGCACATGACCCATATTACCAGGATAAGAGGCCTCCAGCTGGAGAGGTTAAAGACAGTCAGTATTGGGTGGGATGCTCCTGGAAGGCAGGACCATGCAGGGTGATGCTGCTTACAATGCCTCACAGCACCAGTTTTCTGCCTTGGCAGGTGTTGATGCTTGATGAATGAATGAATGAATGAATGAATGAATGAATGAATGAATGAATGAAATGAAATGAGTGAGTGAAATATGAGCAAACTGATAGTAACATCAGGGATTGATGCTTCTTGGGTGGATGGATGGATGATGGATGAAAGAGAGAAATGCTGAACTTCAGGTGTTAATGCTTGTTGAATGAATCAGTGAATCAATGAAATGCTTAACAAACTATTGGTGACTTCAGGGCCCTCTTTGGATGTGATGCTTGCTTCCTTAACTGAAAACTTAGACACCAAGGGATTACTTTTAGCACCACGCTCTAACCAGCTGAGCTAACTGGCAGCTGGAAGGAATTACTTCTAAATTCTCACCGTTGATCTCCGGGCCTCCAATCCCGTCACTCTCTGTTTCAGTCCCACATTGTAGCCACATTGGTCAACTCACATCTGATTCAATTGTTCCTCTGATTAAAATTCCTGAGGGTCCCCCACTGAGTTGGGCTCTGTTAGCCTTTACAGTTTTAGCTCTCTGTGCCCTTGCCCCAGAGCCTTTTCCAATACTTGGCTCAAGCTGGCTCTTTTATTCTCAGAACTGCTTTTCTGGACACCGTTTCCCTTTATCTGGGACACAGCTCCTCTTTTCTGTCTTCCTTTTACCTGGCTGCTCCTACGTGTCCTTCAGTTCTTGGCTTGCTGTCATCATTAATATCATTTTAGCTAACGTTTATTGGGTGCTTGCCATTTGCCACAAACAGCCAGGTCTGTGATATGCATTTCATCAGTACTCACATCCACGCTGAACCTAACAGAGGTGCAGAGAGATCTAATAAGTTGACCGGGGTATAGAGCGCACCAGTGAAACCTGGATCTGAACTCAGGTTTACAGGACTTGAAAGCACTGGTCTCACTCTCTGTGTTATTAGACATAACCTTCCCCAGCTTCCCCAGCGTGAATTAGTTCTTTTTTTTTTTTTTTTTTTTTTGAGTGCCTATAATCCTCCATACCCTGCCTTTCTGATGTTTTCTCGTGTCATGTGGCAATTGCCTGCTTACCATTTCCCCACCCCTCATCGTTACGTGAGGGCAGGGATCCTATCTACATTGTTTTGTATTTTATTTCCAAGGCTGGAAAATAGATACACCGAAAATATTTTGTTGGAGAAATGTTTCCATGATTTTAGCTTCACTGTATTTCTCCTCTCTTATAATGTATTTGGATTTAAGACAGAATCTCACACTGTAGCTCAGGTTGACCTGTAACTCACTGTGTAGCCCAGACTGGCCTTGAACTTCTGCCAGTCTTCCTGCCTCAGTTTCCCCAGTGATGGGATTACAAGCATGATTCACCACGCCTGACTCTCATGATGTGTTTGGGTTTTTTTGTTTTTTGTTTTGGTTTTTTTTTTGGTCTTTTTGAGACAGGGTCTCCCTGTAGCCCCAGCTGTCCTGGAACTCACTATGTAGACCAGGCTGGCCTTGAACTCACAGAGATCCACCTGCCTCTGCCATCCTAGTGCTGGGATTAAAGGAGTGCGCCACCACACCCAGCGATATTTTTTTAAATATTTATTATTTTAATTTTGTGTGTATGAGTGTATTGCCCGCGTGTATGTGATTGCATCCATGTTGTGCAATGCCACAGAGGTCAGAAGAAGGCTTCGATTTCCCCTGGAACTGGAGTCAAGGATGGTTTGTAGCCACCATGTGGGTCCTGGAAATCAAACCCAGGTCCTCTGCAAGAGCAGTCAGTGCTCTTAACTGCTGAGCTATCTCTCTAACCCAAGCATTCCAGATTGGTAGAGTCCCAAAAGTTTTGTTACAAGCACGAGTGGTTTATAACTTGAACCTTCCATCCTTCCCTGTCTCCTCTTATTATTGTTGTTTTGTTTGTTTTTAATAAAAATCTTGAGAAGTTACTTCTTAAAGCATCATGCTATATTTAATGACTTTTCTTCCTGGGAAGAAATAACAAAGAAGGAAACTTAAGATTATTCTCTTGAGAAAATCCAGTGTTAGCCTGAACCAGGCTTCCAGAGATTTCTGGAACTTGGGACCTATGTATAGGAGGCTTAAGATTTAGTGAAGGAAATTACATACAGAAATATATATATATATGTATATATATATGTATATGTATGTATGTGTGTGTATGTGTGTACATATATATACATATATTATATATATTACACATC